ATTCGGAATCATCACGTTGGACTACGGTATGCTGCTACCGTGAATTCCAGAACAAGCGGGATTGCTGTCACCACCGTCCAACTTGCAACTGTAGACAGGTTGGACGGTTCGGATTGCCATACCAAATTGCTCATGCAGCAAAATCTCCCGGCGTCCAAACAAAGATTCAGGTAAGGTAGGTGGGTCGCCGACTCTTGAAATTGGGCCGTTCTAGTAGGTAGCATCGGCTCCGGTTTTCGGGGCTCAGCGTCGAGCGATCGCGGAACGGCATCATCGACGGTCAATTATATCTTGAGAGAGAGTAGGATCAGGAGCTCTTCCTAAAACCCTATTAAAACATGAAACCTTCTCTGAAAAGTGCACCGAATCGAGCTACCTAGGGTCTTTACACACAGAGCGGGTGAACTTGGTTTTGAGCGACGGTACAGCAGGGGTTGCGGTGCTCCCGTCGCCAAGAAAACACCGCGGGTGAACTCAGGTGAACTTTTCAATTCGCCGGCAAGTACGGCCTGACGTCAGCTTTTTCACCGCAGTGTTCCAAAGTGCTATACCCCCAAAAAAGCCTGGTGACGGTGGTGAACTTTTTTGGACCGTCGCGCGGGACTACTTTTACGTGCGGAAGTTACCCCCCGGAGTGACAAAGTAAACTTTCGCAAAACAACACCTTCGGTTCTCGGCGAATTCACCAAAAGTTCACCCTCTCTGTGTGTATAGACCCTAGTAGTAGGTAGCAGATTCTCAATGGACTTTCCGAAAGTTGCGGAGCGGTGTGAGGGCTGTCCGCGGCACTAGGTACCATTCTCAGTGACTGGGTACTTACCTTAGGTATTTACGGTACCGTATGTATTTAATAGGTAGTACTATACCTTTTCGTGTACACCCGGATTAATACAGCGATAGGTACATACCGGTACGTACCGACAGGGTGGGTACTAAAGACTTGAACGTCGTGACTCATCAAATTGCATACCGTATCGAATCAATGGCATGCCACCGTACCTGTATCCAGTCTAGGTAGATTCGACTCATTTGCTGATCGAGAACGAAAGAGTTGACCGCGGGGTCCAAACGGACTTCGGCTGGGCGGGTAGTACGTCCGGTACCATGGTACCTCATTTGGTACCGTATTCAGTACAAGGTTCTGGCTACACCCTTCTACCTAACTTCTAAGTAGACCTTGATCGTGCCGGGCAACAACGGGGAGCCGCGACGGCAGTCCCCAGGACAAGTTTGTGATCTCGAGGACGTGCCGGATTCGAAGCACCGGGTGAGCGAGTCAACGGCCCAAGCACGAAGTCAATGACCGGTTAGATGTCTAAGGTGTAGAGTCTGGACTCTGGTGTCAAGAGCTAGCCGGGGTCTGACTACCGATGCTCGGCCCCTTGTTCTGCGCGCGGGTTCATCCGTGGGCCGTGCGGTACCTTCTTGGCGGTCCCCACTTTAAGCATGACCGTGGTTAGGTCGCGCCTAGTTACATGCCGGGCCCGGGACCAGAATGCACTAAAGTTACCAAACACGGTTGAAACCCCTCTAATGTGTTCTCTGTTTCACCCTTTAGGGTTCAGCGTCGAGCCCCCTAAATTCTGGGTTCGAGAAACATTAAAGATAGGTAATCCAAACCCTGGCTCCATTCAGATGCGGGTTTCGGAAACCGGCTGTAGTGTTTTGCACGGTACATACTGGTAGCTCTGCATGTACAGGGTCGTATTAACGGTACTGATGGGGTGGCCGAGCATCCTGGACGCCTTCCGAACAAGGGTGAAATCTGAACCTCGCCGGCGCAGATCGGTCACACTGTCTCACACAGTCAGCAAGTACGGTGGGTTCCATTTGTCAAGAGCGGGGAAGTGCCTCAGGCAAGCTAGCGCGCTGCTGCTGCTTTACTTTTTGGTTGCAACTGTGTTAGTTTCGATCTCGCTGATTCTCGTACTATGCTACAAGATGGCAGCGTCTCCGTCTGAAATAGGAGCCTGCGTTTGCAAGTGGTAGCCGTTCAAGCAAGGGTAGTGTTTCTCCAACTTCATTGCTCGGATCCAGCATATGGGAGGAGGGCTGGCGGATGGATTGCGAAGTTGGTTAGTCTGTCATTGGAAGCACATCTTAGACATCTGCGTAGGGGTGTGTCCGCTGTCTCCCGGATACGAGTCCGAAGATCGGATAAAGAGTCACGTTGTAAAGTGGAAGCCAGATCAGGTCCATCCGGTTAACAACGCACACGCATCATCCCTTAACTTAAAGCCGCGCCTGAGGAAATCGGTTTGGGTGTTTGCAAAGCAAAAGAAGGTAGGTTTGTGTTGCCCGCTACCCCCTTGGTCCTTAGTTGGTAATGGTGGGTTGACCAGACGAATAGGCTCTTCCCCAGGATCTATGACAAACCCTTGGCGATACGCAGAAGCGGCTGGGTTTTCATTGGAACCACACAGGGAGACATACGGACAGATACTTCGCGCTTTAACTTTGTCACTTTGGGGCTCACGTTTTGTTGTTTTGGAGTATATGTTTGCAGATCTTTTTGAAGTTTGACGTGAATGATCCATCTCCGAAACACATCTTTGTAGGTTGTTCCGCCGTTCTTCTGCATTTATCAATGTGGTGCAAAGGGGAACCTATTCTGCTGGTGCGTCAAATCCAGTTTTTTTGCCTTGTAACAGCACGCGGAGAAAGGTATGGACGAGCACGAGTTTTTTACAGAGTATGGGGAGGCGGGCAGGTATCACATACAGGAAGTCATCGGAAGGGGCAGTTATGGCGTCGTCTGCTCGGCAATCGACTCACATACTGGGGAGAAAGTTGCAATAAAGAAGATCAATGACATCTTTGAGCACGTGTCAGACGCGACCCGGATTCTTCGGGAGATCAAACTTCTACGGTTGCTGCGGCATCCAGACATTGTCGAGATCAAGCACATCATGCTGCCTCCGTCGCGTCGGGAATTCAAGGACATATACGTAGTCTTTGAATTGATGGAGTCAGACCTGCATCAAGTCATCAAAGCCAATGATGATCTGACACCCGAGCACTATCAGTTCTTCCTGTACCAACTTCTCCGGGCTCTGAAGTACATCCACACAGGTAAAGCACTTGAAAGTCCTCCACTGCCATTCATTGCAAGGATCTGATAGTCAAACGAATGCAATGTGATGCACGTCAAACCCTGGTCCACTTATTCTTGGGCTTTTGTTGATCTGACTTGTTGACATTTTTGTCTCCGCTGCCAGTCTCATGATTTCCTCCTCTTGCAGCAAACGTCTTCCACCGGGATCTGAAGCCCAAAAATGTACTAGCAAATGCTGACTGCAAGTTGAAGATTTGCGACTTCGGTCTTGCACGTGTTGCTTTTAATGATGCCCCAACAGCCATCTTCTGGACGGTGAGTTACAAGTTTGCATTTAGAACCTGGCTAGCAGAGGTCATGTCCTCCATCATTGTGCAGGCTACTGTGCATCATGCTTTGTGAAGAGTTCATGTTGAGCCTAAAACGAAGTCGAAGTTTCTGGCGTGTGTGAGACCTGTTAAGCTATTTTCCTTGGCTGCGACGTCCGTTAAGGCATGACTTCTCTTTGACACAAAACTCCATTACTGTCCTTGCAGGACTATGTCGCGACAAGGTGGTACAGGGCCCCCGAATTGTGCGGCTCCTTCTTCTCCAAGGTGAGCATAGACTTGCATTCGGGGCATGGCCTGGTATCCCAGACTTAGTTAAGGCAGCATTAGTTGTTCTCGTGCTTCTATTGTGAGAGTCCATCTCTGGATCAAAACGCTTGTGACCCTTTTCTCCCTTTCCCTGACCCTTTTCTCCCTTTCCCTGCAGTACACTCCTGCAATCGACATCTGGAGCATCGGTTGCATCTTCGCGGAGGTCTTAACTGGGCGGCCTCTGTTCCCTGGGAAAAACGTCGTTCACCAGTTAGAGTTGATGACCGACCTCCTCGGCACTCCCTCAGCCGAGTCCATCGCAAAGGCAAGTAGAACGCAATTCACAGATGGCTGTTCATAATTGGCTGTGACATCCAGCAAGTCTCTTTTCAATGATTGTCACTTGTGGGCCTGTTATCACTGGTTTGGGTACCTGATAGAAGGACGGAGTGACGTATCGAACATTCTGGAAACAGTGCAGCTATACGGCTTGTCAAATTATATTGTGGACACTTTTCAACTCATCGTTTGCAACTTCGCCTCTGACTGAATCTGCTGCTGTGTTTCCAGGTTCGAAATGAGAAGGCGCGGCGGTATCTTAGCAGCATGCGGAAAAAGCCTCCCATCCCCTTCACACAGAAGTTCCCAGGCATTGATCCCCTCGCTCTCCGGTTACTGGAAAGAATGCTAGCGTTTGATCCAACGCAACGGCCTACGGCAACGGAGGCTCTGGCAGATCCTTACTTCAAGGGGTTAGCAAAGGTGGAGCGGGAGCCAGCGGCACAGGGGATCAGTAAAATGGAGTTCGAGTTCGAGAGGAGGCGGATTGGCATGGATGACGTCCGAGAACTGATATATCGAGAGGTGCGCTTCAAGAGCTGCATAGTCAGTGTTGTGACCTGTGAAACTCCTTGAGGTGTATTGCGTCTGAACCGCTCTGCAATGAGGGCAGTCCCAGATACCTGAAAGAGGATGTGCAACATTGACGGTGCTTGCAGGTACCACTTGGTCCAGAACACAGATCGTTGAATCTGCCTAGTGGCACCTCGTTGGTTATGTCGTCAAGGCTGCTTTGATTGGTAGACGTGCGGTTGTTGAAACTTCTGCCCTTGTGTTGTCAGATATTGGAGTACCACCCCCAGATGCTCAAGGAGTACTTGGCCGGCTCGGATTTCTCGAACTTCATGTATCCGAGGTAAGCGTCAGTAGATTCGAGTGTCAATCTTCTGGCCTTTCATTGTGGAGGGACGCTACGGAGATTTTGATCTTGTTGCAGAGCCTATGACATGAAGATTTGAGCAACAATACTTAGAACGGGCAACGCTTGAGCCTGGCCTCCCACTCTCACGCTTGGGAAGCCTGCAGATGACAGGGCAGGTTTAGAGACGCAACACTGCAATTTGTATCTACATGGAAGAGGGCCTGCCGTTCTTATGCTTTTCCATTGTCGTGTTCAGCGCGGTGGACCAGTTCAAGCGGCAATTTGCGCACCTGGAGGAGAACTACAACAAGAAGGAGAGCGGCTCTAAGGAGAAGGGGAGCAGCGGCAAGGGGAACTCGTCCCCGCTGGAGCGGCAGCACGCGTCCTTGCCCAAGGAGAGGGTGGGCGACTACCGCAAGGAGGCGGCCAAGTACTCGGGGGACAGCGGGGCTGTCAAGGGGGCCACCTTCACGGGGAAAACGGGGCATCCAGGCATGGGAGCAAAACCGGGTCAACCAATACAGAGCAAGCCAGTGGCGAGCAACGGTGCTGTACAGGTAAAGCAATGGAACGAACAGTGCTTTCCGGGATGGAAACGCTGCACAGACTGCCTTGATTTGTTGCCTCTCGTACTACAGCATTTGGTTGTCACCTTCTTGCCATCCTGGGCCTGCTGTGTTGCATTCATCAACCGTCTGGCGGATGGACGGACTGCTCGGTGGTCAAGCGTTAATGCAGGCTGTGAGGAAAGAGAAGTAGACAGCGGTCAGGGGGCTGGTGCTTGCACCCCCTGCAAATTCGCGCATGATCGGAGCGGGACCTCAAGCGCTGGCTCTTCGATGCTTGCAGGACAAGTACATAAAGAGTGCATCGATCGGGGCTTCAAAATCTTACGTCCCTGGCAAAAGCACGGCGCGAATAGGGGATTCGGATCTGGCTAACGTAGTAGAAGAGGTGAGTCGGAAGGTTGGGAGCTTGATGTTTTGCACACCTACAGTAGGAGAGTCGTTCCCACTTCGTACATCTAAGTAACCGTGGTTGGTGAATGTCAGCGAAGAGCACTCGTGTTCGTGTCTTTGAGCCGTGCATCTTGGTGAGCGGTATGCTGACGACTTGTTCTTTGTGTACAGCTGGCACTTGAGCGATAAGAAGAGGACGAAAGACATCCTCTATGCCGGACGAGACGAATAGATGGTGCTCTGATAGCTAGGCAACCAAACACCCAGGGGCCAGGTGACCTTGGTTTGCCTTCGGACTTCGGAAAGTGGCAGGAGATGTTGCATGTCTCTCCCCGTTCAACTGAGATAGAGTAGGTCTCCTTGCGTTGCGGCTCCTCGTGCCACTCGCTACTGATCAAACCAGCTTGAGCTGGATATATTCCAGGTGATATAGGCCCCCATTAGCTGTACGTTGAGAGATTTGAAATTATCAGTGTAGTATTGTGAAATGATCCTAGGAAGCCCCTCCATTGGGGGCGCCGTCTGGAGTGTTGTTTACTCCAGGGCTAGAGGGCTAGATTATTCTTTTGACAGACAATCGTGGAAGAAGCTCTGACACAAATTATCAAGCCAGGCGCGGCTCATGCAGAAAGTGGATTCTGTTCATCGAGTCTCATACCCTTTAAAGGCCCCTAAGCTCTTCATCTGCATATATGCACGGTCGGTAGACAGCGATCCAACATAACGCGGGATGTGGGACATTCAATCAGTTCATGCATGCCACACTCAATGTACAGAGCTTTGTCATGCACGTGAAAATTTCTCGGCAACTGTATGTTTGTTGCGCTAATTTAATGATGCATGTCAATTTAATACATCCATGTACCATCTATAAGTGTAGGCGCGGCACATGCATGTGCGAAATTGCGCTGCGCATATATAGTAACAGCCATGGTTCAATCATACATATATGCCATGCATGATCCGGTCGATCGATCATGCTGGCTTGGCGAGCATGTATATACCGTCCATCGCATCTGGCCGGCACATGCAGAGCCGGATCATGGAAGCGCTATAGTCCGCGCACGACACAGTGGCATGCGCGCAGGCTTGTCAAGAGATCGAAGTCCGTTTTCATAAGTCACTGCAATGGAGTGCCGCGCATCTCGACAGCTAGCTGTGCCCATAGCTCTCAATAAAATGTCTATGATGCAGATAGGCGCTACACGCGCCAATATGTTGCACGAGATGCTGGCCGAGCTACGGTGGCATGCTCGAGTCCTCAACGGACTCTTAAGTTGGGACTCCGATTCATCAGGACTGTATAATTCTTATTGTGTAATAAAGCCGGAATGTTCCAGCTTCGATCCGCCCTATCAATCTTTCCGCCCGAATTTGCTTCATCTGGTCTCTCTTCAGTCTCCTTCCCTCTTCCGTTTTTCTGGGTTGGGTCCTCCCCAGCCCCATCCAGGACCTGCTTCGTACCAACCTATGATCATGAGGAAGGGGAAACAATTGAACATTACAAGAGTCCAAGGGTTGGGACGGTCTACTTTGCGAGCTGGCCATGGACACGTTAAGCTCAATAGAATCTCCAAAGACCAACACACCCGAAATCGACAAAGAAGGCCAATGAGCACCGTCTTTCGGTCTCAGTTTGTGATTTTAACCTTATGTTTCACAATTGGACGTAGCAACAGAGCAGTAACCTTAACGGGAATGCAAGGACCAACTGGAGGGTTGTTCAATAGTTGGTCTTTTGATGCACGCCCCATAGAAGCGGCAGCTGTACTGGCAGAGCGCTGTGTGCTCTTGCTCCTCCCAGATTGTCCCCTCACCTTGTCCCTCTGCGTAAGGCCCCCTGGGAGGCCCTTCTGCCTCCCACCCTGCTCCATACCCTGGCCCTCCCCACTGTGCATACGACCCTCTTTCCCACCCGCCCCCGTCCCTGCCGTGGACGCCTCTGCCCCCCGCATATCCCGCGTCCCAACCTGGCGCACCCCCGAGCGGAAAGTCCATGCCACGCCCCCCTGGATAGCCGCCCCGCCCATGGCCGTCATCCCTTCCAAGGCCGGGTGCCCGGAAGCTCCCCGCGGCAGCCTCTGCAAACCCGCCTCGGCCAGAGGGGCCCCTGCCCGCCTCTCCTCGCCCTCGCCCTCCTGCCCCTCGCATGTCCTGCTCCATCCCCATCGCTCCATGCGCTGGCTCAGAAGGGTTCCGAGGCCGCGTCGTTGACGCGTAAGTAACAACGCAGGGTCTGCCCGTAAATACGCGCCCGTTCATCTTCTCCTTGCACGCTTTTGCAGCATCCGCGTCGAAGAACTCAGCCTGGCAGTAGCCCTTGAACTTGCCATTGGCCTTTTCCTCAAACAGCCGCAGTTCCTTCACCCGCCCGTACTCTGCCAGGGCGCGCTCAATTTCCTCGTCACTTGTCCACCAGTTGAGCTCCCCAACATACACCTGCGTCGGCTCCTTCCCGCCCTGCGGGGCCGCCCTGTGCAGGTGTGCTTGCGCAGTGGGCGCCCCTCCCGGGCCCAGTCCATGCCGCGCCATGTACTCACTTGCAAGCGCGGCGCTCGTCAAGGGAGTTGGCGCCGCGGCGGCGGGTGCTTTAGGGGCGGTCGAGCTGGTGGTGCTTTTGGTTGCGGTGACCTGCGCTGACGCGGGGGGGGCTGCTCCGCTTTCGGCCCTGCGCATTGGCGCACTGGTGGGCAAGCCCGCATCCGCCGGAGAAGCAGCCGTGGTAGCTGCTGGGGGTGGTGTGGCGGTGGGGCCTGCTTGTGTTGTGCTGGGGCCACTGCCCTTCACCTGCTGGCTGGGAGCTGCCGGGGGAGGGGCGGGGCGCGCCGCCGGCTGGCGCCCACTGGTGGTGGGCAGGGCACTGCTGGCGGCAGCTCGGCTGGGGGCGAGGATGGGCCGCGACGACACCAGGTCCATGTCAATGTCCCCGTACAGATCGAAATCTTCAGCGTCTCCCGCATCAGCAGCCACCCCATCCCCTCCGACGGCGGCCGCACCACTGAAGGCCGAGCCCAGGCCCTCCTCGGGAACATCGCCCAGACTTCCAGCAGACATGGCAAGAATCGCTGATTGCGTAGACAGCACCCGGCTTACTGGCCGCCTGAGATGCCCCTCAAATACCGGGCATGCTGTTGACGCAGTGCCTTTGCCGCCAAGGTACCTGCAGCCGCGCTTCTAAAAGGGGAGGACCATCGTGAATGCACTAGGATACGTAATTAAAGGAAACTTTTTCCGGCCCTCACTGTTGACTTCCATTGGCATGTGCTCGCTTGAGGTTGAAGCAGCAGGTACCGTGTAGACTGTATAGGGCGATAGAGCCCACCTCGCCCATATACGAGGTGATTAACGTAAGCGTATAAGGTAGTCAACTTTCACGAACGAAGGCCCAAGTAAGGGGGATCCCTTGGTATGTAACCGGGCAGCTGGTTGATGTGTGTTTTGACACCAGTTGTTAACTCGTTATACAGAACATACCGCCGTAGGCTGTCCCGGCAGTTAGAGGGGCCCTCGGGGATGTCCGGCCTGTACTTTGAAACATATTAGCCAGTAGGTATATGAGTGCCGCCATAAGACAAGACTTACCATGAAAACGTGCACGTATATGCGAGCCCCCAGATGCCAATGGAGCTCTCACACTGTCACGGTTCTTTCGCTGTCCAACTTCACTTGGCTTCCGTTTCACCGTCCCTTGTTCCATATGCCCAGCTTGTCGACCACGTCTTTCAATTGGGGAGTACTTCCTAAGTTCCTCCCATCGCCCAGAGGTGTGAACTTGCAAACGATGAGTGATGGCGGCGTGCTCGACATCAGTGCTGCGGTGTGATCTTGGAACCTTCCAGGCAGCTGCTCACGTGAGTCATTGCCCCCCAAGAGCGGACGGGACTTGTTCGGTCTGGCCGGTGGCCTGGCCCGTCTCGCCGGGCCAACCAGGGTGGCGCACCACACCCGCTCGCCGCGCTGCTGCGAGGAGAGGGCCGCTCTGGCCCCCAGTCACGCAGCCCCACCCGTGTCCCCACCGTTGTGCTGACGGCCGGTGGCAGGTGAGTGCCTGTCAAACCCGGCTTGCCTTCAATCCCCGCCTTGGGCTGCGCATGAGCAGCTGGCTGAGCAGCCTGTGCGCTGCAGTAGTTGGTCCCAGCACGTTCTCTTCGCTTGGCTGCTGTCTGAAATGCTGTGGCTGTGCAAGGGGAAGGTTGAACCCGTGAACTTGAATCTCAGAGGCTGCCTGTTTCTCCATTGGTTTGTGGCCCTCTACTTTTGTCCTGGCTGGTGGCAAGCAATCACTGTGAGTGGCATCTGCTTGCAGTCTCGGCAGGGCCGCCGGTTGCACGGCCCGACCATGGTAGCGGGCGATGACCGCATGCTTGGAGATGGGCCCTACTTCAGAACTGGGGGGACGTTTGGGGAGGAGGTGAGGCCCAACGTAGCGGGCAGCAAGAGGCACTGCGCAGGAGGACAAACAGAGAGGGGGCCAGCCTTGGGTGGCCGCCAGCCGGCTCCAGTTTCACAAGGATAAAAGAAAAGAGCCTAGAGAAGGTGCCCACCTGAGGGTCGTACATGGTAGCCGGACCCCACTGTTGTTCGTTGGAGCCGTTGAGCCCAGGCTCATGTATCTATGGCTGTCTTGTCCCTCTTGTATTTCCTTCCCATGGTTCGCCTCTGTCTGCAGCGCATCGGCGCGGAGCACGGCGAGGGGTTCACAACGATCCGGCCGAGCGGGCAGGCGCTGCGCGTGGACGTGGACTTTCTGAATGAGAAGATGCGCAAGCGTGGGCGGCAGCGCATGCGCTTCCAGGTGCGCCCGGACGAGGCGTTTGGCCTGGTGTACTCGTGGGAGGGCGTCCTGGCCGACACGCGGCCCTCGCACACCGAGACCTGGCGCCGCCTCGCGGAGGAGGAGGGCCGCCCGGTGCCGGACTACAGCCGCCCCGTGCACAGCATCCCCCCCGAGCGTGTCATCACCCAGGTGAGAGCTCGCACAGCGAAGTAAAGCTTGGAGGGAAGAAGGGAGCGGTCAACTTGGCAGGCAGGGACAAGAGGGGCAGGCAATGCCGGGGCGATGAAGAAGTATTTCGCTTGAAGCAGATGGAATCCTTGGGATGCGAGCTTTATGCAGCCCTTTAGGAGGCGTTTGGGAGATTGGAGGATACCTGTGCAACTTGGGAGTTGGTGCACGACTGTTGGAGGAATTGGGGTCTTGCCTTAGATTGCCCCGTTCGTCAAATCGTTGGGCGCAGGTGCTGGGTTGGACAAGGGAGCCGGAGGAGGTGGCGCGCCTGGTGGTGCGCGCGTCGGAGCTGTACTGCCAAGAGGTGGCCAAGCTGCGTGCACCGCAGGCAGGCCTGCGCGAGTGGCTGCAGGTGAGGGCGCAGACGGGGCGGGCCGCAGGGAATGACGCGCTCTGGCTGACATCGAATCCTCGATATTATGTCCTTACAGAGCTGTTTAGAAGTGGTTCTTTCCCGGACACAGTCTTGTGTGTCTGAGCCCGTATTGGGGGTGGTGGTGCAGGCGCTGCGCACCGCGGGCGTGCCGTGTGCGGTGACGAGTGCGCTGAGCCGCGCGACGGTGGTGGCGATGCTGGACGCGTGGGGCCTGCGGCACTTCTTCCAGGCGGTGGTCACCAACGAGGACGGCATGGAGGCCATCAGCCAGCGGTTCCTCTCGGCAGCGCTCAAGGCAAGCGCCGCCATGCCAAAGCCCACCGCGTCACGAGGACCGGAAGTCGTGCCTCTTTTTGACACTGTTCGGGGGGGGGTGTTCAACAATCCGCCCCGCCGTTTTTTTGACTGTGCAAGGTCGTTGGAGCTCGACTGAGTTATCTCGTGAGATAAGTGCTTCGGATGTCCCAGCTGTGCTCTGCTGACGCGAGGGCGCGCTTGCAGCTGGACCGGGCCCCCAACAGCTGCGTGGTGTTCGAGGACGATCCTCGGGGGATCGCCGCGGCCCACAACTGCACCATGAAGGCCGTCGCCCTGGTGGGAACGCACCCGGCGTAAGCAACGTGCCGCCCGTCTCAAAGGCGGAGCCGTAGTACCACGTCTTTGCTGAGCTTCCGTCCATTCCCATGCAAATGCCATTGCCTTGCTTGAATCTAGGTATACACGCCCATATCAGAGATTGTCAAACCAGGCACTCTGCGAGGAGGTTCATTTGGCACGACAGCTCTCTTCCTCTCCTGCGAAATGTCCGTCCCCCTCCCTGGTCGCCCTGACCGGCGCGCGCTGGGTGGCTGGTGCAGGTACGAGCTGGAGCAGGCGGACCTGACGGTGAGCAACTTCTCGGAGCTGTCGGTGATCAACCTGAGGCGGCTCTTCGCAAACCAAGGGGCGGAGTTCATGGATCCCCTAAAGCAGCCTAGAAATCAAAGCCCTCCTCGACGAAGGAACAGAAACGACATGATCCCACCGTGACTGTCTTGTATTCTAGTTCTGCACGCCGGGAGGTGAAGTCGAATTTCATGCGGGATGGGCTCGAGTGCCAATCATAGGGCAGTAGCCTGGCCACACGATGAATGGCCGCCTCCGTGCGCTGATGTCTCATAACAGCCCTGATCAGGAATCTGGGTATAGCGCGCATCCTTTTTTGGTGATCAGGTAGGCGCCCCACCTCACATATACTGTGTCGACGTACCGTGTGATTCCATCCTCACGCATGGCTGGCGGCGCCCAAGGCAAACTGCGGGGGTGCACCATGCAATCTGGAAGAGAACGACGAGGTCAATCATAATACTCGAGGACATGCTCTGGCCCGATAGCACGCGGCTGCCAAACTCGTATGTTGATCGCCATGTTTAATCTAACTCAAGCAGCCTTTACGTTTGACCAGATCAACCCGCGGCTCTTAGTACACGGTATAGGAAGCCGCCCTGCATGCTCAAGCTTTTGATAGGATGGCACACCGTCCGATCTGCTTATAGTTATAATAAATGCCACATGATGGTCATGGATCAACGCCCGCGCGTCTGAGTATGTGTCACTCAGACCGCGTGGCCATGGACCCTTAACAATAAATTGCTCAAATACTGCGTGAAACATTTTGCCGGACCGCTCATCATGGCATGCGGATATTGGCGCACATCGCGCGGCAACACGTCACGAACACAACGACCGGATCACAGTGTATAGATATGTGACCCTAGCACCTGATCGTATGATGCAAATAGGCCGTTCCTTTCACAGGCCGCGACCACAATGTCATGACATGACGAGTGCCTGAGAAATTAGCCCTGTCATTGTGGGCCCTCAAATAATCAGTGTGCCAGCTTCAACAAAGTGCGCAACGGACCTTGTACATCCACCCTCATCCGTGACATTTGTCCTTTAAGCTTGATGCGTCATGGGTCTTGGCCGTCCTGAAGCAGATCAGTTGCGGGGAAGAAGCTGCTGAAGATGCATCGGTTCGCGGCTCATGAGAGCCGACCAGTGCAACGAATATTGAGGGCTCCTGTAATCGTCTAGTACATGAGCTTTTAAAATAAGCAGTGAAGCAGCTGAACCAGCAGATCGCACGTTTGCCAAGTTGGAGCCGCAGTGTCAAGATCAGCTACCCCTACCAGCCGTTTGTGAGCACCAGCACCTCCGGTTCCAATTGGGATTGCACAAAAGTGGGATGCCGGTCTCGTTTACCCCGCGCTTGCACCTTTCCCCGCCCGTTCACGCTTGAAACAGGTTGAGGCGCTCCGCGCCACTTCCGTTCCGCTTCTTGTCGATCCGTCTGCCGGGCCCAGGCCGTCAACTCCGCCGGGAGGTCGCCTCTCGGGTCGTGCCTGCTGGTGCGGGCGTGGTCCATCTCTAGTTCTTCCACCAGCTCCAGCAGCGCGCTGTCGTACAGCATCCCGGACACCCACCGCGCCCGCCCCTGCCCGCCACCCCGGCTGGGGCTGCCCTCCGGACTTACGCTCCAATGCCGCACCCCACTCTCCTTGACCACAACACGCTGTGCGACACGCGGGGCCGCCGTCGCGAGCGCGAGGGGCACCTCTGCCCCCGGCACTCCCTCTGCCACTGCCTTTTGGAGTAGACTGGAGGGGGCAGGCCCTTCGACCTCCGCTCCTCGCGTGGCCCTTCGTCGGCCGTCCTGTCCCGGCCCCCCGAGAGGCGATTCTTCCCGTGCTCGCCTTGACACGTCTTCCGCCCCCTCGCTTCTCTCCCCCGGCCTCCGCCTCTGGCCCCCTGTTTCCCCGCCCATTCCATCCCCTGCTCCGTCCGCCCTACTTTTCTCCACCACTGCAACGTCCACGTAATAGAAAGCCCCCGCATCCCCAACTGTAGGATCAAACCGCAGCACTCGCTCGCATGGCGCCTCCCCTCGATCAGGGATCCCGGATACGTCCGTTGCCCTGCCCACTCCCGCTGGGCCTGCTTGCGCGTCCAAGCGTGCCCCCTGTAGTTCCCGCACTTGGTCGGACCCCGCAGCACCGCACCTCACCTCCGCAGCTACTGCAGCCCCGCCCGAACTCCGAGAAACGTCCGAAGTTCCATTCATCGGCACCGCTCCCAGATGCACCCGCTGGCAACCATCAGGAGCCCCTATCGGGTGGCCGCTCTTGAGCAAAGGGGCAGAGGCAGCGGCGCAGGTCGACGGGGGGCAGCCGCATGATGGGAGGGCCGTGCCCCAGAGAGCCTGCACGGCAGAGCCCTCCGCAGTGGTGGAGGCAGCAGGCAGGGAGGCGGCGGGGACGGGGGCAGGCCCAGCGATGGCCGGAGAGGAGACATCAACGGGGGGCAAGCGACCCTGAAGCACGCCAACAGTGGGTAGGACTGGCTGCGGTGGAGCATCTGGTACTGCTGCCCCATGCGGTGGATAGGAGGGTGGAAGACGAAGAGGCGCCTCTTTGGGGGGAAAGAAGACGGGGCGGGGCTGGCTAACAGGCCCCCCTACAAGGGGCTGGTGCGCACTGCTCATACACACTGCTTCGGTTTGACTGCCCAGGGGCGGTTCCCTCGCACCTGAGGGGTCTACTGCCAGCACGCTGCCTGGCGGGTTGGGGACCAGAAACCCCGTCCCAGTCTGCTTGCTAGGCTTCCCATCTGGTTCTCCCTGAAAGCAGGCAACTGCTGCCAACAGCACGTCAGCTGAGGCCGACACAGCCATCCCTTCCATTGGTCGTTGGCAGACCTCGCTATCATGTCCAGGGGCAAAAGACACCGGCATTGTAGGGGCGTCTTCGAAAGCCATTCCCCCAGCCGCGTTGCCTCCCTGCGGCTTGCCCCCCCCCACCCCAACGTCTGCTCCGGCCGCGTCCCCGCCGTGCTGCCCCCCTCGCTGTGCCAGTTCCCCGCTGATGGCCCGGATGCGCTGCTCTAGCTCCGCCCAGGCCGCCCACACCCCCTCCGCTGGCGCGTCCGCTGCTCCTGACGGCGGCGAGTCCCGCCGCTGTTCAGATGAGGCTCTGGTAGCCTCCAGGACACCGGATATAGCAGGCGCAGCGGAGGTGGCCGGCGGGCTGTGGCCGCGGTCAAGAGCGGGCTTACTTGGGCTGGCAGGCAGCCCACCGCCTCGAGAGGGCTCAGCTTCAGGGGGGGTAGCTGGGGTCAAGTGGGCACCAAGGGAAGCAGAGGAGGTGACCCCTGGTGCGTTCAGGCTGTTGGGAGAGGTGGAGCGGGGCAGCGCCGCAGCCGCTGCCTGAGCGGGCTGTCCTGGTGTGGGGCTGTCCAGGGCCAGGGCCACCTCGCGAGAGGCCCCCACCTTCAGAGCCCGCAGCTGCAGGCAACGCCGGAGGCTCCTCAGAGGACAAGCAATCGCAGAGAGCTGACAGATACTCCTGCGCTCATCAACATCTGCCAGCTTCCAACGGGCTCGACCGGGGGCTTGGCCCCCTTGGAAAGTTATTGGCCTCCAATCTCCAGTCACCTGCCCCCAGGCCAGCAGCCAAGCATGGCCCCTGCTCCTATCCCCCCCTCCAGGGCTCCTCACCTTGAGCTGGTAGGAGCGCAGCAGGCCGTCAGCATGCAGCAGCTTGAGGCGCAGTGCAGTGAGCTCGGCAAGGAGGTCGCGGTTCTGCGCCTGCAGCCCCTCCAGCGCCGCCTGCTGGCTGGCGCGCTCCTGCGCGGCCTCTCGCTGCACCGCCTCCTTCTCCTTGGTCACAGACACCACCTGCCACCGCAAGCAACACCTCAGAAAGAGGGAGATGCATACTTGAAGGGAAGGGCTGCACTGAACAGGGCGGCTCTAAGGGGGGCATTGCAGCACTAGTGCTGAAGATGATGGGGAAATATAGCCATGTGATCAGAAAAAGAGGGGAACTGAGTCCTTGTGCCCAAGCGCCGCAGCTGGTAAAAGCACGTCCAGCATACTCAAGGGACCTGTACACCAATTTTCTTCAAAAATACCACAGCAGCCAGCCGGGAGCAAGTGTGTCTATCGTTGTACCAGGGCCGTCAGTGCTCACCTGGCGGATCAGCCTGGCCACCTTCTGCTTGTCCTCCTCACAAAGATTCTTCAGAGTAGCGCCCTGGGCAGGCACGCCATTAAATCCATTGGAGTCTGCTAGAGCCCCTTCATTCACAATGTCTGCATATGCCAGAGTGCTTGACATCGCGCGGGTTTCCTTCTTGACCCTGGGCTTTGGCTGGCTCCTCAAATGAAGAGGGCGCTGCATCCTTGCACAGCTTGGTTGTTAGCAGGCTGCACCGCCAATTTAGGGGCTTGCCTATTCGCAGAGAACCCTCTTTGCGACTGAAAGGCCCCTGGACTGATGCCAGAATCTGCATCCATCAGCAATCAATGGTGCATGCTTAGCATCCATCCCGACCTGCACCCATTCAAGGTGGCGAGTTGCTTCATGAGCTCTCATCATTGGCGTGAGACAGATCTCATAGCCTCCTCAATCCACTGGAAATCTGTTTTAGGGTTTGCAACTGCAGCGCTCACGAGCTAAAGTCTTCATACTGGCAAGTGCGGACAAGCTGGGGGCTCGCTGGCTGGTGTGCAGCACCACCATGAGGGACTTCCTAACCACATAAAAGACACCGTTTGCTGGAGATGTAGCCTTAGGGCTCCACTCCCATGCAAGAGACTGTCATTGTCAATGTCTGCAATGCATGGCGCTCCCCCGGCTTCTCTTTAAAATTAGTAATCAAGGAGAAAGCTTTAATAATAATAATATATTTTTACGAAGTGCGGTGACATAGGTAGGTAGTCATTGGAGCAAGTACGACGAAGCATTCTCCTTTTGTTAGTGTCTCAGGCTTCAAAAAGTGTGAAAACGTTTCACACGCGGGATCATAGGCTCTCAAGGTGTCCGCGTGGAATAAAATGTCAGATCAGGTCCTTCGATCAAAATTTTGTCAGACAATACCGGTAGTGGGCCGCGGGCGGCGGAAACTCTTTACCGAATGTTAACCAAAAGCAGAGCATCACGCTTGCAAATTTGCACAAACTCTTCACTCTCTTGCCAATGCCAAGGTGGAGTGGGAATTGCCAAGGTGGAGAGTCACATGTTCCACTTCTCCACTGCTATAATTTAGTAATAGGCAGAAGAGAAGGGCGTATTGACGAAGTGCGGAGCAGCCCAGCATGATCAGAGTCCGGCACAGACTTGCCACCTTGGCTCAGCATCTGCAGAGCGTTGCCTCGCTGCGACCCTCAGCAGTGGCTCAGACGCAGCTGCTTTGCGACAGTGTGCCGAAAGCCCCTCTGCTAGAAACTTTGTCTGCCATCAGCAGCATTGGAGCAGCGAACGACCAATTTGGGTTCGGAAGTCTTGTGAATCCACAATTGACTGGTTGCTTGGTTGACATCAAACAGCTCAGTCGGAGGACACCGTTTGCAGGCCCCCTAGAGGCGGAGCTGCAAGCTGCGAGTGCTAGGGCCACTGGGGCCTCCACCCACAAGCCCGAGTGTTCCAGAGTGGTTGCTGAAGAACATATCCGCTGGCCGAGTGCTGCAATCAGGGGCAGCTCAATCAGGTCGAGGGGGCACCGCTGGCCAGCTGCCACCACCACCACCACCACCCCCCCTTGGCAGTTGCGTACTTTTTCTTCAGACTCTCCACCCAGCAATGATGCTCCAGAACTAGCTGATAAGGTGGTCACTTCCCATGAGGGCGCGCAGGAGAAGCTCGTGCTGTATCGCGGGCGGTGGATCAAGCCCCTGCGCCTGCTGGTCAGGTGAGCGGGGAAGCGAACATGGGCTGGGCCCCCTCCTTGTGATGGACAGTCCCAGCTCTTGGGCCCTTTCGCCGTCTCATTAGTCTGGTTTCCTATCCAATCAAGGTTTCAAAATCGGCACTGACGGTCCGTCTTTGAATGTGGGCCAGGTTGAAGGTTTTGCAGCTGACGGGGGTGTCGGTGCTGGCCATCCCAATTGTGCAGTACACGCAGCATGTGAGTACTGCCGCCACTGGTCTCCCTAGGACCCCCATCCTCCGGAGGTCACCTTTGCGCACTTTCACAGCGTGTGCTTGGTTTTCTTGCTCACCTTCTTTTGAGGGCTCACTTCCTCCCATTGGCTGCCTGCTGGTCATGTTTTAGTGAGGATTTCGGGAGAGGCATCCTTCGCGGTACCCTCACACTGCGGCTGCCAATCCAAGCTTTGGCGCTTGGTTGTGTGGTCATTACTTTCAGCCCTGTCCTCACCAATCTGCCGCCTCCTCTGCGGCTCAGTCCTTCGCCCCTTCCGTACACTATGCCATGCTTGATCCCCGCGTCCGTCAGGTGCCACAGCCCCTCGGGCACTGAACCACCTGAATCGTGTTGCCTGGCCTCACTTAAGCAGGCGCTGCACTCTCGATGCAGGGTCACGTGACGGTAGGGACCTACGCCGCAGTTGGGCTGGTCGTGAGCGGAGCGGCGATCGCCTCTGCGGCCCTCTGGTTCTACTCCCGCAGGTGACTCTGCCGGGCGTCCGTCAGAGACTTCGTGGGCTCTTGAATCTGAGATCCGTGTCAGCTCTATGCTTGTTTGCTTCACCACCTATAAGAATTGCGGAAATGCGGGATCTAGAAAAAAGGCAATCGTATGGGCTCGTTTTGACCCTGGTCAATTCAGCCTCGCTTGGCCGAAAGCCAGGACTTCAGCAGCCACAAGCCTTTGAGTACACGCTTCGCGCGTGTCGCTCTCGGTCTCTTCTCATGCGTGCAACCCTTGTAGCGGCTGTGCGCTAATGCCCTGCCGCCCGCAGGTACATTGGGGAGCTGAGCCTGCTGCTCCCAAAGAAGCGCGCTGTTCGCTTTAGCACCCTGGACTTCTGGGGCAGGCGCCAGGACACAGACGTCGCCATCAGGTACGGCATGCCGCGAGCAACTCACCCTAGCCGCCCGCCAATCTTGTATCACTCCTCCTCAGTCGCTTTTAGTTGTTTGTCTCCACAGGATCCGCACGGTTTTCACTCCTACCATATCCCCGTCAGGATCAGCGGGTAAGTTCTTCAACCCGGGACTAGGAGTGAGGTACCTATGCCCTCTCATTAGATTATGTAGTCAGTGGGCTGTGAAAGTGAAGAACCTGTTTGCGGTGTGTGAGTTTCGTCATGATCCGCCACTTCGTCGATGAGCACTGTGGCACTGACTCTGGGTACGGCCTGCTGTGTTCAGCCGGCTCGTTCCCCCTCTCAAAGGCCTGGGCCCGGCAGCGCTGCGCGAAGTGGCCCAGCATGCCTTTGTGCCGCTGGAAGGTGAGCCGCTCCGCATCACATCGACCCGCAGGCAGTGGCACGTGCTGGGCACTCCCCTCCATGTAGTGGCAGTGATTTGAGTTGTTTCGACTGGAACCTCGTGGAGAGAGCTGACAGAGACGGTGGACGAACGCATCACTGAAACAACCAAAGGCCTCTGATTCACTGCGCCAATGCTTTTTGAACGGCCACCTTTATTGGCGAGAGTCTTGAGCTTGAGGCGTTAAGATCCCGCAACATGCACAACCCTGTTTTATTACTTTGGTGCAGTCACTGGTGACCGGCAGTACATCCTCAGCCTTCGACACGGACACCTGCTTGAGAAGGACGCCCTCATTCACCTGCTGACCAAGGACAGTCAACAAGTGTGAGGCAGGGCGGCTGAGAGCTCGCGGACTCACTCTCTACAGCACACCATGCACTGTCTGATTGCTGCAGGCGTGCATCGCGTGCACAGATCGACTCATGTCGGGCGGCAGCCAACTCTTGCCTGTCCAGCTACGATCAGATTATCCGGGATCGATTTCGGTCTGTGTCGAGCTGCTCAAATCAAGCCATCATTGTGATGCACATGAATGCCTATGATCGCTGTAGCAGTTCCACTAGATTGCTATCATTGCTAGACGTTGGAGCTCTAGCATGCCCGGCAGCCCCAAGCTAGCCATGGTCCAGCAATCCGGGTGCATATATCTCGTGTGTGAGCCACAGACGGCCATGATGCATTTCGTAGCCTTTCGTACATCTGTCTAGTATCAACAATGACAATTATAGCGTCACTGGCACCACAGTGATCTAGTTAGACGGGGTCGATTGGATCGAGCGGCCATATGCATGTCGATCGGAGACCGCCGGCCGTCTCTGCCACAGTGCAGCGGCCACACTTTTCAACATGAACGTGTGATGTAACTTTATTCAAGCAGCAGCTCAAGCAATCCTAGTGCATGCAGCCTGGTCAGATGCTGAGTCACACATTGTATGCTGCCATCCAATCAGCGAAGGCATCGTGCAATACACAACAGATGGTGCTTGGGTTTGTAGGCCATGCTTCGTGCATTTTGATTGGCAGCAACCAATCAAAGTCCTGCTTCGGAATATCTAGCCCGCTGTCCCATTCAAAAACGAAAACTGTCTGTTTCGCACGTTAGGTCCCAAATTCCCCCCCTTGGGACCAACATAAATGTCGTGTTCTCAATTGGAACTAATGAATGGTTGCAATGGTCCTAGAGATTGAGCCGGTTGGTTGCTTCTAGAACTCTTGTTCTACGTGTCCTTGGGTTGGCAGTCGTCTAGATTACCTCAGCCCTCCGATGTACATCACACCGGCTGCAGCCCCACTCCTTAGCGCAACAGCGGGTCTCCCAGACCCTTTTCTGGGGGCTCCTGAGCCGCTTCTATTTTCTCTCTCAGGTTAAACTCCTTCAGGACTAATGGCCTGACGTCCTCTACTCCGACTAGGCTTTCCAGGAATGGCAGCAGTGTCAGCAAGGCGGAATCCTCCTGGTCGTCAAACCAGCTCTCGATGGGGATGCCGTTTTCAACCTGCGTACCGCACATCACGAGCTTTCAGGATGCAAGAAGGCGCCGATGTTTCATTTCCATGATTAGATTGAGCTGAGGGTGGCCAAGAATAGAAGCAAAGAGGGCGGATCCGTGTTCCAAGAATAACCTCCGCTGACCGCATCCGCATCCTGAAGATATGCAGCCTCCGAATATGGATGCAGAACAGCTAGATTGTCGACAAATCTACAAGAACTCGGCAAAAACAGAGCTCGCAATCACCCCGTTGTCGGAGTGGCGGCACAACCAAGTGAAAACGGACGCATGCAAACCGGGCACGCAGGCACCTAAACAAAGACAAGAGTAGAACGCCAGACACCAATCTGGAGGGCCAAAGGTTACCACCTCAGTCTTTTCGTACTTCAAGCGGCATCAACAACCTTCCCACAGTTATACGCAGGAACAAGAACAAGCAAAAGGGGCCTGGGAGGGCCGTACCTGGAAGCCAAACGCCTGCGGGGAGTTGTCCACAATAACTGTCTTGGCGAGGTCCCGGCCGAGCACGGAGAGGTCCTTGAGGTAGTTGCCCTCCACGTACACGCACGACTCGCGGAAGATGCGGTGGCGGATGAGGCGCCGCTTGGGGTCCAGGATGTTGAGCAGCGTCTCCGCGTACACGCTCTGGCTCGCGGTGAACACAATGATCTCAAAAAGCTGCGCCACGCGCTCCATGAACTGCTCCAAGTGCGGCCGCCGCCGCACATACACCTGCACCAGTCAAGAATGCCTCTGCTTAAGAGGATGGGAGGCAAGTGCAGACACAATCCTTTACTAGCGCACGTCGTCCACAATTCATCGTCCCATTCGAACCCGTGAGAGCTTTCGACCTGCCATTTGAAGCAGGCCAGCTCAGCATCTCACGAAATCAGCAAGCATTTGTCGCCTTGCCATAGTGCTGTCCTCCCCAAATTCGCCTGTTGCGGGCAGCATGCTACCAGAAATGACGTTGTTCTAGCCAGCTGCAAAGGTGAGCAAACACGAAAAGGGCTAGCTTACGCTGGCCGCCCCTGCCTCTCCCCTCACACTGTCAGCCCGCTCACCGTATGCTTGCAGCCGTTGAAGTGCACGGGGAAGTTGAAGTCGGCGTCGTCGCACAGCTCCAGGGTGGAGTGCACCAGCGTCTCGTCCAGGTCCAGCACCAGCGTGATGGGCGGGGATCGCCGCGTCTGCTTGGGCAGCAGCACCGGCCGGCACACCGGCACGCACTCCGCCAGCAGCGGCAGCCGCTTGATGAACAGGTACGGGTCGAAGTCGTCGTAGTCGTCATCGTCCCCCTCCTCCCCGCTCGCCGCGTCCTCGTCCTCGCACTCCAGCGCCACCGCTGTGTCTGCGCCGTCCCCCCGCACAATCACCAGCGACCTCTCCTCCTCCTCCTCCTCAACAATCGTGGTGATCTTGGGCTCACCATCTCCCCCCCCTTCTCCGCTCCCTTCCGAGCCGTCCCCAGTGCCCGTCCCCCTGGCCGCTGCCTCAGGAACGCTCTCGGCCAACTCTTTCCCCGGAACCTCTACCGCACCCTTCCCCTGCCGCCCTTGGACCAGCGGCTTTCCTAGCTCCTGGGCAGCTTGTGTTGCCCGGGAGGTGGCGGTGGAGACCACCGCGTCTCTGCTGTGCACCACAGTACCTGCGAAAGCCAGCCGCAGGCCATGAGTCCAGATGCTTTTCTGGTGACAAAGTCCTGCCCTGAATACATCTGGCTTGCATGATGAGAACGAGTTGCCGGAAGAGACTTACTAGGAGTCCCCTTCCTTGAACTTCTCAAGAAGTTGAAATGTACGATGAGCAGAATCGAGATAAGCTGTTGTCCAGCAGTTGCTTGATATGGAAGAAGCAGACGGAGCTGCTGGGCAATCGCAGCAAGGCTGGTGCTTGCTTACCTTGACTACTAACCCTGCTTACAGTCTTGGAATGGGCGGCCCCCTCCTTTGCCCCAAACAACGTGAAGACAGGCGAAAAAATGGTCTCAATGATCGAGCTGCTCCGAGACTGTGGCGCTTCGTGACCACGGCGCACTCGCTCGCTGTTGTCTGGGGAGGGGGCAGCTGAAGTCGACTTGGGATCCTGCAGATCAAAGGCAGGTATTTGCGCTGCACCTTGCACACCATGCAGCAGCCCAAACATCAGCTTGGGCATACTACCAGTCTGTGCTTGACAAGTGCCATTCACAGCATCCATCGGCATGGGAATGAGACTCTTCAAGAACCTCAAAACTTGCAGTGTGCAACGTTGAACCGAAAAATAAATCTTTGCCCCGCAATCAGGTTTCCAAGTTGACACACACCTCAGTCTGCACGACCTCCCCATCGCGCTCAACTGCATCTTCCAGGTCTTTGTTGGCCTTCTCTTCATGTGCAGGCCCGTCAAGCGGCGGATGAGGCCAAAGGGGTGAGGTTACCAATGGCAGCGCTTCTCCTGCCCAAAAGAAAGCATTGCAATAAGCAGACCTTCAGTGAAGCAGTTGCTCAATAAGCTTGACAGAGGAGCCTGGAGCACCTGGGCAATGAGCATCTATTGCAATCTGTACCCGCACTTACAAGCGGCAGGTGCACAGCCCTAGGAAAAACCATGGCGATTCCGTCTGATTGCCACTGGTGCTTGTGTGCTCACCAGGTCGCCGCCGTTTTGAGGCAGATGTGATCATAGTCTGAGCATCCGTCCTGGTACCCGCCCCCGTTGGAGTGTCTGGTTTCAACCTTTTATGAGACCTCGGCGTATGTGCTGCAACTTGCGGCTCCTCTGTAGCAGGCTTCGGCATCCTCCTTGCCTTAGCAGGCACTTTGCGTGCCCTTGCCATTGTCAAATCTGCAAAAGCGATGCAAATAGGACTCAAGAAACCAACCATTAAAGTGTGCAAAGGACCTCAACTCCACATATGTCACCCGTGTGCTACAGTATTGCTGACAGAACATCATGAAGGCATCAAACGAAAGGACTTTGGATTTTCCCGGTCTGCCCAAAAACCTGGAAGTTGGCACGCTTTGTAAGTGTGATGAACGAGTTAATGAAATGGTGCCTGGATTCCAATCAGCTTCCTATGGAGCAGAAACCTAGCACATTTTTATAAAGAAGAGAAAGAGCTACTGCCAAAAAGAGAGAATCACAGCCAAATCAACAAGGTAACATTGCACTTACCTTACCTCAGAAAGTTTGGCAGATCGAGCAAATATGCACCCCAAGATTAGCTATGGCTCTAGCAAAAACCTAAAATCCCCTCTGCGGTCCAGGCCGGCGCCTTTGAACCCAATATGAGAGCGCCTACGTCGCCAAAGCGAGCAAAGCTGAGCAACTGCGCGTTCTAAGAGCCGATGGCCAGAATGTCGAGTTTTGCAAAGCCCTCCTGGCCCGGACCCTGTCCACTCTGAAACCTGTTTCCTTCTTTGCTAATCGCCTCTCGCCTCTCTCTGCTAGGCGTCTACCTACGTACCTATCCGCCTCCCCAACTTGCTCGAAAACTCCCAACTCCCAGACAACCTCCCCTTCATTCTTTCCAGATGCAGGCTGCAGCCTCAGGTCGATTGGGAGCTTCGCAATGCGCATACCTAAAGCAAAACCTCATGTGGCTGATTTCATAGAGATTGTTCAGATTTGGTACCCGTTGGACGATGCGCCCGGGGGCAAGGTCTGGGCTCTGAAGGCTCACTGGTCAAAAGTTTTGCCGCACGGCTCTCCTACCAGGATTCCGGTGGTCCGCTTGGCCTCCCGACCTGATGGGTGGCCCTTGCTGCTTCATGCAAGGGCCGTGACTCACCCCGGGTCCCGGTGTACCGGGGACTTAGAAGTACTGTGGTCCCCGGGGAAGGCTCCCCTTTCCAGATCACATTTTACAACAGAGCTACGGTCCTACCGTCAGATGGTCCAGACGGACGGCTCGAGATGATCCGCAGCCCAAGGGCTGATGCCCTCCCGGTGGATGGTGAGCCTGTCAAGAAGAGGAACATCACATGTGATCATCACAGTGATGCATGATTCACGACTCTGATGCCTTCTGCTCCGAGCACCATCACACATCATGTCACATGTGCGTCGTGACACTGATTCTGAAGGATACAGCCAGGGTACAGCGGCAGGCTGTTGCCAGCATTGTTGCGGCCGCCGCCACTGCCCTGCTACTAGTGCTAGTAGTAGTAGGACCTACTGTAGTACGGTACATACTCTATAGGCTTACGCAGCATTAGAACCATGGCGGCTGTGGCCTCAGCGCGCCAGAAATTCCTTGGAGGGACCGCTCGCTTTCAAGAGCTGAAGTCTGCCAGTACTCCTTTGGAAACAACTTCCATAAATGTCGGTGCATCTACTAGAAGACTTTCGTCCAAGCCCTCTTTGTCAAGAACAATCAGCTACGGTCTGTCCTCACTCTGTTGGAGCGGGCCAATTGACATCAGTAGGCGAAAACCTTTTGCAACTTGGCGGAAAGACTGCTGTTCTAAAGTCTCTACCAAAGGGCATGGGGTCAGGCGGCATTGGCGCCAGGCAGCAATGGCGAGTGATGGTCCTATTGAGGAGCCACAGAGTACAGACAACGGCAGCAATGAAGGGAGCACGTCCGGTTCAGATTCTGACAAGTGAGACACTTCGTGCCGAAGCGGAACATTGAAAGCACCACCGTAGATGCAGTGGCTACCCGTCTGCAAGCTTTTCTCGCCACTGTCTGATTGATTTGAGAGTTAGTCACCATCAACTTTGTGGGTTGTCTCTGCTCTTGCTATTGGCATAGCTGGTCGTGTCCGAAATGGAATGCGAAATCAAAAAGATGCCTTCATTACAGAAAATGCGGGCAGCTTACCACTGCGTAGTCATGCTTCTCAATCCTGTTGGGGTGCACTGTGGACTGGTTCACCAACTGACTAGTTCTTCATGCTGCGCTGTACTTTGACTCCATAAATCTGGCCCCTGGCTGCTGCACTCAATCGTTTGTCTCAGCAAGTGCAACGTATTGCATCGAGGGCTGGGGCAACTACTGCTTTGCTAGTACCACCACCAGAGAGCACACTTAAACGGGTCTTGAGTATAAGTGCCCATGCTTCTTTTGCAGTGTGACTGTGGGCCTGGCAGAGCAGTTTTGTATCATTGAGGGGGCAGAGACAATGCAGGACTTTGCCCGGATGCAGCTAAAAGAAATCAAGGAGAACATCGCAAGCCGCAGGAATAAGATATTTCTGCTCATGGAAGAGGTACGAATCACTGCCCTCTTGACCATGGTGTGAGTGGTGTCTGCCAGGTTCGGTGGTCGGTCAGTGATTCTGTGTTCTCCCCTTCTCATGCCCTCAGATGATGCACGCAGCTTGAAGGTTGCCAGTTCTTCATGATGTGGCAGAGCAGAAGAGTGTCGATGGCCTTGAGCAAGGGGTAGAAAACTTGGCATGAGTTTCATCCAGGTGCGGCGACTGCGCATTCAGCAGCGGTTGAAGAGTGCGGAGAAGAGTCTCCAAGAGGACTCTGAAGACGAGACGGCGTACCCGTCGTCTATTCCGTTCCTCCCGCCCTTGGTGAGTATGGCTGCACTGATGCGAAGTTCTTGTGCTGGCCCTTGGACTCATCTGAAGGGGAGTTATGTTTACATTAGCCTCTGAACCGCTAATGTGCAAATCACTCTACATAACGGGTTTCATTGCCCTTCAAAACTGGGCATGGCTGGCTGGCAGTGGCAGCTCATATGAACATCTTAGAGTGCAGCAACAACCTTGGCAATCGAGCAAGTCAGAGACAGATGACGCAAGCCCTGACCGGTTTTCGTTTGCAGACCAAAACAGACCTTCGCCAGAAGTACTACGTCACCTTCTTCTCAATGATTGGCGCAGTCATCGTGTTTGGAGGCTTCTTCGCACCTGTGGTAAGTTTGAGAAAGTGTTCTTACTCGTAGATAGTCTGGACAGAACCAGAGAAAAGAGCTTGAGAGCAATTTCTTTGGTTCTGTCCAGTCTATCTACGAGTCAATTCTCAATCACGCAAAGGAAGCATATAGATGAAAGGCGTGTTCGTGGTGACAACTTGAACCTTCGCACTGTGAAATGAAATTCAGAATCTTGCCGAAAGTGCGTGCACGACCTACGCTGTAAGATTCTGAGAGGTAATGTTGTTGGAGAACCTTGAAAACTTTCCCGTCATAGTTAAGACCGGTTGCTATTTTCGAGAGTGTCCGAGCGGGGACAAGGAGAAGCTGTTTTCGCAAATTCAGAACCGAGGACACTGTTGGAAGGTGTCAGTTTCGGGATTTGCAGTGTTCTCAGTTCTTGGACGCTTTCCTTGAAGGAGCTCCGACGGCTTCTAAGCTTGCCCCAGAGTCCATTCGCGCGAGGAAGTCAATGAACATGTGATTGAGTTCCTCAAGTCTATCCGACGATTCAAACCCACCTACAATAAAAGCTCAGCCTTCTGTCACGACTCAACAACTTTCCAACAGCGTATTCGGTTTCGCTTCTGCGACGATTGTTTTTCCTTGTCCATGCTTTGTCCGCTTGAGCTTGTGTGCAGTTTGGAGAAGGCTTCCCACTGATTTGGCCCCTCATATGCCCTTACAGTTGGAGTTGAAGCTTGGAATTGGCGGAACGTCCTACGCGGACTTCATCAGAAGCCTGAACCTGCCAATTCAGCTCAGGTTCGTCCGTTTCCCTTGATTACAGTGGCACTGAATGACCAGTGGTTCTTTACTGCTGACAACATTGTTGTACTGGCAGGATACCTTCCCTTGTCTTACTTTTGGCACTTGCGCGACTGGCCTCTGATGTCCTTTCAAGGCTTGCTGACTCTCAGGCGCTTGGACACGCGGGTCTGGGCATGCTGGTGACCCTTTTCTCGGCCTCGTTCCTGTGCAGTCAAGTGGACCCGATTGTCGCCTCGTTCTCGGGTGGCGCTGTGGGTGTGCTGTCGTCGCTCATGATTGTGGAGCTCAACAATGTGTCACTTCAGGAGGAGAAGAAGTGCCACTACTGTGAAGGAAGCGGTGAGGACCCCTGACGCTGCTTTCTCTTAGCTCCAAGGGCATAGTCCCCTGCTTTGCTGTCTGCTGTGGCGGGGTTCCAACTTTCTCTATGCAGCCAAGATGGTCCGAGGTTGGACGTTGCCTCTCTGCCGTTTAAATAATTCTTCCACAGTCAGACTGGTACATCCATAGCACTAGTCTCTAGAAGGGAAGTTGAGGCGCGAAGGTTCTTGAAGATTTCCTGCTGCTTGTCCCAGCCACTCTTTGGCCTGATTCCATCACTTCGAGGACGTCGTCCTGCCAAGGGGAAGCTGTGCAGTTGAGCGGATTCAAAAGGATGTGTCTCGTGCCTTGTCTCCAAAAAAGCGAATGGCGGCCAATGACAGGCAATTGGCTGCACCTGGGGACGTCGTTGACTGCAGAAGGGCTATCATTCTAGTTGCGGCACTGCGGTTGGCCGGGAACGAAGGGATGGCCGAGTTCTTGCCGCAGTCGATTGACAAGCGAGCAGAATTCATGACAAGCAGTTACCAGAGGTGTGACTGATTGGACCGGGCGGGTTCCGTGCAGGGTACCTGGCGTGCGCCAAGTGCGGCGGCATGGGCGCCATCCTGGACCCGGGGGAGCGCGAGCAGCTCAGGGAGCAGCTCATCACCGCGGGGAAGGTGGGCGGGGCCAGCCGGCAGGTGGCGCTCAAGAAGCTGCGCGCGGAGCGGTGCAACAACTGCAGTGGCGCCGGCAAGGTAGGGCCGCGGAACCAGTGCGACTCGTGCTGGCAGGCGCTGTTACCGTGGGTGTGACTGGGACGAAGCAAGATCAATCAAACAAGCCGTACGATGTCCTGATGAACGGTCCCTGCGACGTTGCTCAAGAAACTGTACCCGGAGATGTCAACGCCCTTTTCACTGACGATCGCTGGTATAGTATGATTTATGTTGACAGGTCACTTCACGATCTTCTGCACCTATGCTGCGGACTTGTAAAGCGATTCATTTGTCCGTGCCAGGTCATGTGCCCCACTTGCTTGTGCACCGGGATGGCCCTAGCCACGGAGCACGACCCCAGGATTGACCCGTTCGATTGATCAGCGAAACGCGAACGATCGTAGGAGTGCTGCGAAGCTTCTGCGTTGTTTGAAACCCGATTTGATTGGAAGTAGAAACGTTGAAGGTTTGTTCGAGTGACTAGGATTATGCGACTCTAGTAGAAGCTGAGTAGTCGTAGATACGAGACAAAAACTAGCATTGAACTCGAGCGTCTGGTCGAGAACGGGTGAAATCAAAGCTCGTTTCCATTCGATCCGGCCATCACTGCTTTCATGGTACTCATTCTCTTGAACTGCCTTTGACGCACAGACTCGAGCCATTGTTCAACCATTTTCGCGTTCAGAATCGAGCACTCGAGCAGCATGCACAGCTGCCATTGAGAGAAGCCGTCTGTATCCAATGATGGTGGCTATCTTCCTGCAACATTGATAGGAAGTACATTGAGAAGTACACATTTCGTTCTAGGGAAGTACATAGTCACCGTCTGAACCCATAACCTGGCAACAAGCTCGATTGCCTCAGAGTCCTGGTGGCCGCGGGCCGCCTGTATCATAACGAACCAGCTGGTATTAGTGAGACAATGCGCTGCAATGCCCATGATGTATCATAGCTTACATAATGATAGTATGCCATGGCATGATGCAGCTTGATCATGTGTAGTGACCGCGTCCGACGCCCATGTAGGAATGCGACACACATGCTGCCACTGGCATACAGCATGCAATCAATCAATTTCGATCGATCAATCACAATGATATATAGCTCCGCGCTAGCTAGTCAATTGACTCTCGAGTCTTGCTTTAACATATGCGATGTTTGATTCACATGCATGCACATGTGACGTGGCGCAGGCGGCTGCAAGCTATATTTAGCTAGTTGATTGGATCGACCACAACGGTCAAAATTACTAGTTGGGTCCCATGCATGCACATGCATAATATAACGAACGCATGTGACTCGTACTATAATGATGTAGTTTAGCCTTGCAAAAAGGTCACCAGTAGACGGCCAGGCGCGGTCCCGTATACAAACTCCAGGCCCGTCCGACTGCCCGCGCAGTATGTTCAATCCGTGACTCGCGCGGACAGCATGGTGCACTTGTCAAATATATGAAACAAGCGCTGACGGCTCAATGTTTTTCTACACAAGATAGATTGCGCATGTTCTTACAACTAGCTGCAAAATGGTTAATATGACAAAGATTCCTAACATTGCAATCGGCCAGGTGATTGCATCCTTTCCTACAAAGAAACTTACACAATCGGTTTGCTCTCGGTGTGAACAACACATGATCAGCGCTCAGGGCGCACAACAGCGTGGTTCTCATTGCATCATACTCAAGGTAATCGACTCCACTTAGGTACTATCAACTAGTGTCCAACAATTACCTGGCGCTTCTACAAAGACATGTCGGTGGCGTGGCATCAAGCACAAGCAAGGAACGAGTCCAGAAACAACTTCAATTAACCAAACCAAACCCCTCGCAATCGATTTCGGGCTTATTAACAACATGTCAACACATGGTCAACAACAATGTACATTGGTGAGACTGTGGAAGGGCGATCAAAGACCTGTCCCGGATGTAGCCCTGCACACACGGGACGTGGTATTCAGATCAAACAGTGAAGCTTCTTTGTCCTTCAGATTAAGACTCAACCTCCGGACAAGGGCTGACCAGATACCAGGCAGCTTGATTGGGGGTGTGCAGGATGTGTCATCTTACCTCAAGTCTATCAGAATGATACTGATATTGTCGCTGCCCCGTTCCTGCAGAAACGAGGATCTTCTTTAGGCATAGGACCAAGACAAGACATGGTACCTCGAAGCACTGATGCATTGGCCCACTTTACTCGACTTCGGCAGACAAGGCATACAACGAGACAACGGAGTCACATTTGCCTAGCCTGACCAGCCGCAAACAGCGGATTCACAGTCGCTGTGCAAGGACTTACTCTCAGAGCGAATTTCGCCAGCTCTTGGGACGCCACCTGGTCGAGAGTCAAGTTCCAGTAATCCAGTTAGATTGGTAGCGGCCGTTAAGCAGTGCAGTTAACAAAACTGGCATGTAAGAATTGATGCGGCATGCTCTGAGGTTACGAGGAAACATAAGCGGCAAATCACTCGGAGATAGAGCAGACTTTTGGCACACACGCTAGAAGTGCAGGGCTCACTTGCAGATCGTCCTTCTTCGCCAGCTGTTGCAACACGAACTGCACCGCTTCTTGGCTGCATGGATAGACGTCAGAGCATCAGCCGTAGACCGACGCATGGGTCGTCAGAACCTGGGCAAAAGGCTTGAGACACTTCGATCTCTGGGCCTATTATCAAGTGCCTCATCCACAGTACGACGCCTTCATTGCAGGATTACTCGCAAACTTTCAACTGTTGGGACTGCCGCAAAAATTTTATTGCCGCAGAAATAATGAAGACATATCGATCTCACCTCTTGATGCAGTCCCACAAGCCGTCCGAAGCCAGGATCACAAACTGGTCATCCGGGGTCAACGTAGTGTGAGTGACATCCGGCTTCGCGGTGACCCAGTCCTTGCTCAAGTCCAGCCTGTACAAAGTCGATGGGGGTCAGAAAGGCGGCGGAAATCACTGTCCTCTTGAGAACAACAAACATGTTCTCACTTGCCAAGGTCTGCGGTGATAGAAGCAGCGGGCATTCGCTTTGATTCTAAGACGAACCTCCCACAAGTAGTCCCCATTAAAGGACGCCAATCCCTACCTTTCGACGAACTTCTTGGTGAATCGCCGCTTCTGCAACCCTTCCTCCAGCATCCTGCACAACGCACGGCAGTCAAGGTCAATGTCAGTTGCTGACCATAGCAGCATGTCATCCGAAGGTCCTCTCAAGCGGACACCAAAAAACCTTTTCGAACATGCATACTCGTCATGAGGAGCCAGTGTATACTCACACGCTTCGATCGTTCTTGTAGAGTGGATCTCCAAAGGCACGGGAGACAGCCAGCGTGCCGCAGACGCGCCCGTGGTTCACCTGCACATGGACCATGATTCAGAGGTAAGAACAGCTTGCCAGACAGAAGCTGACAAAAAGGGGCATGCGTGTCCCAGGGTGATAGCGGACCGATGAAGAGAGCAGGATGACACCTGAGGTTCCAGTTCATCACGGAAGCCCCCTTAGGCAGAGTGGGACTTCTTTAAGAATTCTGTGTAGCTTCAGGAGAAGTAGGACAGCCTCTTACCCAGCAGCCTGCTTCTTTCAGCCGTTTGAGCTCAGCAACTGCCGAGGGCGCCTTGCCATAAGGACGGTGGTCTCCGCTGAGGTCCACCGCGCTCTTCCCGCGGCAGAGGACCTGCAAGGTGACAGTATTTAGCAGCTACTACAAGAAACTCAGATATTAATCGTGTGATTTTGAAGCCCGTATGGAGAGGCAGGTGCAGCGCGGCCCTTGCACAATGGTCCCCCCTGGAATCTGGCATCCCCGCTCAAAGCTTTGGCTACCTGCTTCCAGACTGGGAGATGACTGGAATAAGTGCTCAGAAAAGGACAATGCAATTTCAGTGATGCAATCAACAGTGAGATCCAATCTCAAGCAGACTAGTACACTGGGCTGCCTATGACTCACCACTCTCGAGTCCCCCACGTATCCAACGACCACTGTATCCTTCCGTATGAATGCCACTGTTCCAGTAGAACCAGAGCGACCTTCCCCGCCGCTTATTGAAGAAAGGCTGCACAGGGAGGGTAGCTCGAGGTAGAAATTCAATCGCGCACAGACAACAAAAGAGACTCATTGTGTCCTGGGCCTCCCACTCAATGTTGCATCCAAAAGGAGGACAAATACTTCAGATTCACTTGAATCAAGAGTGTGGGATGATTGAGATTGTGGGCTGCAATTAGGACATTGCTCATGCATCCTCACGTTCGTACTTAAGACCTTCCTTTTGATCGATGTGGAGAGGCAATCTAAACTACGACTCAAGGTAGACTTACTGTTTCAACAATGCTGCGTCTGTTGTGAGGAAGGCTTCCTCCAGAGCTGCGGTAGCGTCTTCCAGAGTGGCAAGTGGCGCACCATCCCCGGTTGCAGTAGTCTCTATGCAGGCACTGTGCAGATTGTCCCTGCAGAGCAACCGGAGGGCAAATTAGGGGTCCGTGGTGTGTGACCAGGAAACCATCAAGAAATCTTGCAGGCTGGCCCACACAATGTGCCAAACCAGCTTTGACCGAGTCAACATCATGCTCCACCATCATCTACGTAATCTCCTGACTAAGCAATGGACCTGCAGACCTGGCTCGACGAGATACCTTCAGCAGACCCAGTGCACAAATATAACCAGAGAGCAAGGACAAACCAATCTGAAAGAATTAATGACTAGGGCCGTGAACCCAGCTACCTATGAACCATCACAGCTGTAAAGAATGTGAGCTGCAGCTGACCTCAGATAGCTGACCGCTGCTGACCCAGAGTGACCATCATAGACCCCTGCAAAAACGAAGCCATTGTGCGCATTACCGACGACGACAGCCTCATCCTCCATCTCCTCCCGTGGCCCCTGCTCCAGCAAGATGCTGTACGGCAGCAAGCTAGCGGAACCGTCATCTGAGCTCTCGCTGCTCACACTGCGATGCACCTTCTCCCGACGAAGACCCGGCGGGGCAGCCGCTGTTGCCTGGCATCGAATAGAGTTGATGCTCTGACAAGGTGACACATCGCACACACCAAAACGAGAGCTGCTCGATGTGGGCAATGGGCCCAATCGAGTGGGAGGTCCTTTCTCATGAAAATTGATAAGCGATCTTGACCGAACCTTTGGGCGAGTCAGAGATCGTGTGGCACATGATACCTCTAGGAATCCTGCCACAGAAGCTCCACATTGCAAGCAGGTGGTCCCACCCATTGCCCCAGCCTGCCTTGTCCTTCTCGCTCAATGCGGTAATCCGTCTGCTGACACCTCGACTGTTGGAAGGCTACAAATTACAATGGCACGCTGCCACAATTCTGAACGCCTACTGCGTAGCGCAGCACAGGATCGGCGCTGCCAGAGCCTCAGGGCTCTCCGAGTCCAAGTCCTGACCAGTGACTTTCCAAATGCTGATCTTCACTGGTCAGAAATCCCTGTTCCTACTTGGTGTTCACGAGTGCTCTTCAAGTTCCAGCCTCGCAATTGGAGTTGAAGGATCAATGTGAACTGCCACCTCCCTCAGAGTGAAGTTTGTAATTAATGAAGATATATCGAAATTACCGTAACCGGGAACGACCGATCGGCAGGGGTTGCCACCAACTTTCACCGGTGCCGGCTGCCTACCGGCTCCCCTGCAGTATTACCGGTTGACCTGGAGGCGGGACAAGTCACCGGGCACCGGTTTTACCTCCGTGCCATCCTATTTTTTTCCGACTTTTCAGCCGGTGAGGTGCCTTCGGCACCGGTGCATCTTCCCATTTTGTGCCGGCCAGGTCCAGCTTTAACACCGGTTCGTGGCAAGCACTGCCGATCGGCCGGATGGCGATAAGGGCCTCCCCGGCCAGCCCTCGACCCTACACTTCGGTTAATCACACACTTCGCTCCTGAAGTGACGAAGGTGTCTGACACTGGTGCCAGTGGCAACAGCAGGCAGAGGGCGCAGACGCCCAGCCAAAATATGTATGATCAATTAAAATGGACCGGGCAAATGACACCCAACGATGGCGGAAACTTGTGGAGAATTGTAGATTCTCGGCGTTTGTAATTAGCCGAGAATCGCGGTTCTCTTGGCGCGAACCGTGCCGCGGCCGCGGCGCCGCGCAGCGGCGCGTCTTGCTCCTTCGAAGCTTTATAGGCCTATCCTGGACCCGGAGGTCGCAGAGTCGCGGTGAAGGTCGCGGACAAAAGTCGTGGAAAGTCGCGAAAGGTCGCGGAACGTCGCAGAGCATTGCAAGCATATAAACATAAAAGTTGCTTCAAAACATGCTTTTCAAAGATTGACAAAGTCGCGGTGAAGGTCGCGAAGTTCGCGGAACAAAGTCGCGGAGCACGGCGCGTAAAGTCGCGCAGAATCGCGGAAAGTCGCGCAACGTCGCGGGCAACTCTGGCAACCTCCGGGCTCAGGATAGGCCTCTTTATAAGCGCACGAAGCTGCTCATTTCATTCAATCTGCTTCGTGCATGCTTCACAGACACGCTACTAAGCAATTGCGCAAAATTTCTTCTCTTTCCTTTCTTTTTCATGCACCCCTTTCTTTTGCTCCTGTCCTTCTCTTCATGACCGTTCAGATCTCATCAGCAATGTTTCAGTGACTACCTTTCCAGCATGGCTCCTCGAGGTTCGTCTGATGCTGATCCTGCTGCGAAAGATCCTTCGAACGAAGATCCTCCACCCCCTGCTGAGAATGGAGCCAACGATGATGGTGCTGACGTTCGAGATCCGATTCGAAGAGTCCAAGACAATCCTCTCTTCAATCCTGCTCAGATGAACATGGGTGGCCATGCATCAGCTCCTTCGTCTGGGTTTGATGCACTTGCTTACCTCAATCTGATTCGGGCCTTGTCTTCGAACGGGTTTCCACCTGGTGCTTTCAGTCACGGTGCTTTCGCTCCTTTTCAGCCTCAGAAGCAGCATGCAAGACCTCCTTCTGCAGAACAACAAGGCCACCAAGTTCCCCTCGCTGCGCAACCTGCTGCTGCTCAAGTTCATCCACCTGCGGCTGCTCCAGTTCATCATGCAGAGGATGCTCCTGTTCAACAACCTGCTCTTGGCGCAGACTTCGCACCTGTTCTTGGAGGTGTTCTGCAGGAGATTAAGGGAGAGCTTTCGGATCTGAGGAGCCAGGTTTAGAATACTGTCCAGCACTCCGTGCATGATGCTCTGGCGACTTCGTTTGAGAACAGGAAGCGCAAGGCGTACAAGTTCAAGAGCGAATCAGCCAAAAAGCACTACGCTCCTTTGGAAGAGACGCACATCAGGTTTTCTGCTGCACGCGCTACAACGTCTGAAGCCTTGGAGACTGGCGCAAGGATGTCTCACGAGCACTTGGAGCGCGTTCAGGATCTCATCGACGAGGGTATGTCTTTCTTGGAAAGTCGCATGCAGTTCTATGAGATTGCTGATGCCGAGTCTTGGCCTGTTGCGATGAAGATGGAGGAAGAGGAACTTGTTCTGGATCTCTCTGAGGAGAAGAGGAAGAGGCTCAAGAAGGCCAAGGACGAAATCAAGGAGGAAGCACGCGAGAAGGCTCAGTCGAAGAAGAAGTCCTCTGTCCCTCCTAAGTTCCAGAATGGTCCCAATGTGACGATTGGGCTATGGTTAAGTCTAAGC